AGACTTTTCTATATCTGGGTCTCTTCCAGTCATACTGTTCACGCTGTCCTAGGTGCCCAGGAAAGGGAAAGAAATTGGGGAGGATCCTAAGTGGTACTCCACCTTTCCCTTTTCCAAGAGAACATCGATGAGTCTACTTAATGGCCCTTAATACCACAAATTGCCTCCTAATGGGAAAGAGACCTCCCTTCTCTCTGGGAATGGGACCTGATTACAGGACAGACACCTTCGCACAGGTTCCTGGCAGCGGAGGGGCAGCTGGCTGTGAAACATGGCTGCAAAGAGAGCCATAACCTGCGCAGGGCTAATGAGGAGCGGCCCGGCCTGTGTTTGGTGAACACAGTGGGGGACAGGCCCATTGGTTACGGACCGGAGGGCAGGGGCCAAGGCCATGGTGCTCACACTCCAGCAAGATGCACTGAGTGGTACTGGGATTGCCTCTGATTTACCCAGCTCTCCCACAGATTGCTCACTGAGGCTTTCCTGTCATTTCTGAGCTGCAACGTACCTTTCTCTAGCCGCAGAGGCTGTGCCTAGGACAGGGAAGTGCACACAGCAGTCACACATCATAATAAGTAGGATGGCTCGCTGCTCCAGGGCAAAAATCCTGGCCTACTCCTCCTCATCCAAGTGCCTTGTTTTGGGCTCATGACAGCTGCTCAACAGACACTTACTAAATGAACGGGTGCCCTGATTTATGAATTATCTACAGAGCAGAGTCCCTCCTCCCTAAATGCTTCGCTGGTAGAGATAATGGCTCCTTCTCCACCCCGTGTCCCCCTCTCCCGCAAGATGAAGAATGCAGGGAGTCACCACAGAGGTCGTGGGATGCTGAGAGGTTGCTTCACTCTCGAGGGCCAGCTGGCAAATGAGGAGCACCACCTATTATTCAAGGCATGGGACCACCCTGTTACCCCAAAGGCCAGAGGGGAGACTGTGCCCACCCTTAACAAAATTAGAAGTTGAGCCAAAACCTGTTTGGCTCTGTGGATAGAGCATCAGCCTGCAGACTGGAAGATCCCAGGTTCGATTACAGTCAAGGGCACATACCCTGATTACGGGCACATCCCCGGTGGGGGGTGTGCAGGAGGAAGCTGATTGATGTTTCTCTCTCATCAATGTTTCTAACTATCTCTCTTCCTTCCTCTCTGTAAAAAAATAAAATAAAATAAAATAATATATATTATATATATATATATATATATATATATATATATATATATATATTTTTTTTTTTAATAGAAGCTGGGTGAGCACCAGACTCCTCCGACTGCCAAGAGCTTCCCGGATCTGGAATCAGAGGTCTCCGACAAACCTCCCACCAGAAAGGAAGCTCGGCGTGGCTCACGCAGTAACTATTTCCTCACGCCCTTGTTTAGATGTGGATCAGCATACACACAGCCCTCCCCCAAACCGCCACTCTCCGCGCCCCCTTCCAAAAACACCAAATAAGTAGAGGGCTGAGGCACTTAGGTCTGCACAGATATTTTAAATTCATCTTGAAGCAACTTAAAAGGGCTGCTCCGCTCCCCTTCCCTTACTCCCAGCACATTTCTGTGGCAGCTGGGTCAAGCCTGAGCAGCGTTTGCACCACTGACTCAATGACAAAATATTCCTGGGCTGCTTTCTTCCCATCATCCGTTCCCTCCCTCTGTTTTGTTTATTATATTCTCTCCCATCTCCCCCTCCCCCCACAATACACCACACACACACACACACACACACACACACACACACTTCTTTATAAGGCATGAGAACGCCATGGTACATGGAACCTAAACTGAGAGTACTGGATTCAGGGACCATGTACTTGGATGGGGGAAAATATATACCTTTCTTTCCATTTTTTTTTCTTTTAACTATTTTTTTTTAAATTTCCTTATTGATTAAGGTATTACATATGTGTCCTTATCCCCCCAACTAAAATATAGCATTCTCTTCAATTATGAGTGTAGGCAACAAACTACATTACTGTTCACAATACCTGTACCTCTGAATACATGTCTTCATATCACATCAGGGTGAGTTGCCCCAAAATATCATTTTTGCTCATTGTTACTTCAAAATCGATGATAATTGTGAGACTTCAAGTAGATTTTATTATTTAACATGTTAAAGAAGCACAAGTTACTGCTATTTTTTAAATTATTAACTGTATTTCAATAATTATTTTCCAAGCCTAAATATATTATTTGTACATTTACAAATGAGAAGGGGTCCACAGAATGGTTGAGCCTTGCTGTTGAGTGAGCAGGGGGAGGTGGGATCTGAGATTTTCCCTGGCATCCTCTGGGCCTGGGCGGGACTTGGGGACTAACAAGCAGTGCTCAGTGGTGGCATGAAGCAGGTCCTAGGAGCAGAGGACAGTATGGCTTTTGGATAAGAGCTTGGGTGGACTTTCGGGACAGACAAACACTGGCTCTGATAATTGGCAGTGTGCTCCTGGGCAGGCCACTCCATCTCTCTGAGCTTTCATTCCCTCCGCTATAAAAGAGGAATACTAATATGCCATGTGATTCTTGCGAGCATGAACAGAGAGAATGTATGTGTGGCAGCAATGACTGCCCAGTGGACTGGCATTTGTCTGACTCTAGGTCAGCCTTCCCTACCGGGGTCTTCTGATGCTAAAGGTATATGGTTAGCCTTATTTTGGGGAACACCATTTGTGCTTCATGCCATCTTCCCTTACCCTTGAGCTTCCAGGATGCTGTCAAGTGCCTCAAACTCTAAAATACATCTAGACAGACCTAGTCCCCTGTCTCCCTCTGTCCCTGCACGGAAATGGCCACCTAGGCCAGGCTGCAAAGCAGATTTCCTGCCCCAGAGCAGAAGGAATCCCAAGAAGAAAGGAGCTATTCCAGACTTTTCTAACCCTAGTCAGAGCAGCCAGAGTACCTGCGACTGGCTTCCCAGAGCCGCTGGCTCCTGACCTGGTGTCTCATAGCTTGGTGGATGGTGACAGGATTCCATAGTCCAAGTGGCCCTTCGCAGGCCAGGTCAGACCCAGGCCACCAGGCCTCTGGGCAAAGAGCCCTCAGGAAGTCAGGGAAAACCCTACAACTCCTAAGGTTACACAAGAAACATCTTTACATGTCCCTTGACTTAAATGATGTTCAGAAGTTCTGTTGTAGAAAGGGCTATGCAGTCTTTAAAAATGGCATGTATTGATTTTCTTCTGACTATAAATTATAAAATATTGGAAAATACACAAAATTTATACAGAGAAATGAAAATTAACCATAAGCTTGGCCTCTGGGAATCAAAACTATTAACATTGAGTTGAATTTTCCTCCAGTCATACTTATGCTGGCACTCCCACATAAATTAGGATCATCATTATATAAAGTTGTGATTTTTGCTCCCTTTTCCCCCTTTTAGTCTCCCTCCACTCCATCCCCGGCCTTCCCCATGCTATTGTCTGTGTCCACGGGTTATGCACCTATGCATAATATATAGTTCCATATCCTGATTTCATCACTTAAAAATATCTAGAGACATTTTCAATATGAACTCTGAAAAGACACAAAACCGTTACACTAGACACTGTCTGTAAAAATGCATAGGTTATGAGAGATGCTGAGTAGCATTATGAATTTAAATATAAGTTATTTCCAGAAACCTGATAGGAGGAGAGTCCATTTCACTCCCCCCTAAAGCACATATAATAGCAACTCTCTTCTTTACCTTGAAAAAAAAAAATCCAGAGAAGATGCCTTTGTGTCCTCCGCAAGGAAGCACTAGATGATATATTTTTCTTTTTCCCTTTCTCATATCTCCCCTGATAAGGAGAAAGCTATGAAAATTCACTGCTAGAAAATCGGGGCCTGCATAAGTGCTGGCTGAGCGGCTGAGGAAAAACCTTCAGAATGAAGCGGAGTGGCACAAAGAGCCCTGTCTTCAAACTGAAAAAAGCTGGATTCGTATATCAAGTCTGCCATTGTGGCCCCAAGATCAAGGAGCACTCCGTTTCCCTGCACTTCAGCAGCACCAGCACCTCCGAGTTTGGGAAAGCTATGCAGTTAAGTAAGGCTCTGCATGTGAAATGCTCTGTCAACAGCGGAGTACACTGCCCAGCACTAATCCCTCAGTCCCGTTACTGTGGCCGGTAACAGTATTATTATTATTTTTGTTGCTCAGCCAGCTCGCACCATTCAAACATGTCCTAGGAGGGGCCGTGTCCAGCAGTGGGGGAAAAGCATGGGCTTGGCAGCCGCACTACACTTCCTTGTTTGGCCAAGCTATTTAACCTCTCAGTTTCTTCACCTGTGAAATGGGATAATGATGCTACACCTGCCTACAGAACTGGTGGCCCAGAAAGAAGCTCACTACAGACTGATTCATATGCCTTTCAGCATAATGATTATTGCTTGTTTCATTTTTTATTCTTATAAGTTTATTTCCAGGAGGACATGATCGCACTCATCTAGGGGAAATGGTGAACAACATAGACTGACTGAACAAGAACAGACCCGGAGATAAGGAGCCGTGGGTCAGACTGTTGGACCTCAGAAGGAGGGGGGATAAAAGGGAGAGATCAACCAAAGGACTTGTGTGCATACATATGAGCCTAACCAGTGGTCAAGGACAATAGGGGGGTGAGGGCATGAGTGGTGGGGGATTGGAATGGGGGGTTGAGAACAAATATGTGGTATCTTTATTGACACCTCAATCAATAAATAAATTAATAAAATTAAAAAAGGACTTCAAGAGGGTTAAAACGAGTTAATTTATACTCAGTGCTCAGAACAGTGCCTGGCACATAACAAACACTCTATAAGTAGAGTTTTAAGGAGTCAGTGAGCAACAGCCAGAGATGATTAAAATAAATGTGTACCAGCTAAAACCAGCACACACTTAAAAGAAAAAAAAAAAAAAAAAAAACAACTTTCCACAAAAGTCATTAATCAGAAAGCTGAACCGGCAACCTCGATCAGTTTCCCTAAAAGCAGTGGCCACCCGGCCCCAAACCCTAGCCCCAGGTGGGCCAGCTCCCCTCCTACCTTCTCCGCATCCTGCTCGAAGAGCCTCAGCTGGAAGCACTGGTCCAGCTTGAGCTTGCGTACGTGCCACATCTGGTGCAGGTGCTGCCGGGTGGAGTGCAGCTTGTCCAGGAGGCTGGTGATCTTGGGCACGAGGCTCTGGAAGTCGGCGCTGCCGGGGATGCAGTTGCGCCCTGAGAAGCCGTCGCTGCAGCGGATGCACTGCAGCAGCCGCTGCCCCTCCCGGTCCAGCTCCTCCACGGGGGCCTTCAGCACCTTCTTCTTGAGCTGAGTGTGCTCGTCGATGAGCCGCCGAGAGCCCTCCACGTCCACCGGGAACTCCTTCCGAGCCAGCATCTCCTGCAGGTCCTCCAGGCGCGAGAGCAGGTGCACGGCGCTGTTGAAGAACTCCTCCAGGGACAGCCGCAGCTCGATCCACTCCTCATGGTTGTAGTCCAGGGAGCCGTCGAACTCCTCGGTCAGCTGGGAGGGGTCCACCAGCTTCGCGAGGCCCTCCACGGACACCATGCTCGTCTGGAGGGCAGACACAGAGAGGGTGAGTCAGGGAAGTCGAGGGGGGGGGGGGATGGGAAAGCAGGGCAGCTGTAGGCAGGAGGGGAGAAAGTCAAGGGGAGAGGCCAAGGTAAGCCCACTTAATAATGACCACAGCCTGCACAGGAAAGGGCTGGTGGGGGAGCACGTGGCCTGCTGGTCATTAGCTACAAATCAGCCAGGGTAAGCAGTTCCAACAGACCAGCTGACTGCCTCCAAAAGCCTCCCCACCTGCCCACCACTTGCTATTCCAGGAAAGGCTGCCTTTAAGACTCAGCTGTCTTCATCTTCCTCCTCTCCATCCCCCCCCAATCACCACAGAAGGGCTTCAGATGCTAGAGGCAGGAGTGCCTGAGGGTCTAGTTCTCTGCAGCTTGAAAACCCACCCAGGCTCATGACCCAGGACACCATCGCGGTTGCATGAAGCAAGATGGGTCAACTTAGGGCTGCAACGGTCTGAGTCTAGCTTCCTGCCTCAGGCTGGGTGGGCCTCTGCCAACACCGAGACTCTCCGATTTAGTTGGCCTGGACTGGAGTGTATGCACAGGTAGTTTTAAAAGCTCACCAGGGGATTCTAACTTGCAGCCGCTGATCTAAACCTCTGCTAATCTCGGTCCTTGCGACTCAAAGCGTGGCCCTCTGCGGCAGCATCAAGACCACCTGGGAGCTTGTCGGGAAGTCAGATCTGCTGAATCACAGTTCACGCTGAACGAGGTCCCCAGGGACTCTGTGCGTTAAACTCTGAGCAGCCCTGTTCTAGAGCACTTTCCCCTTCAAGTCTGGCTCCTTGTTTACCACGTCCAGGAAGTCTCCCATGGTTATATGCACCAATTAGTCATTCATATCTGCTATTGAACAAGCCTGTACCCTCAGCCTGCATGAGGGGTTTTATTGGCTGTCGGTAAAGCACTACCTTATAAATACTCTTCTGAGTGGGAGACCTCAGCTCTCTCTCCTTACTTTTTATTTAGGAGGCAAAGACAAGCTTGCTCAACTTGTGGTGAAGGAACAGGGGAAGGGCTGAGCAGCCACACTGAAACACAGTTTAAGGGCTTGTTGGAAAGATGACTTTCATTCTTTTCAGGTTCTAAATATATAGGCTTGTTATCACCACCTCTGTATACAAAAACCAAATCTACAAAACACAGGGCTCCTGCCCAGCTGATGTGGCTCAGTGGTTGAGTGTTGACCTACAAACAAGAAGGTCATGGTTTGAGTCCGGGCACATGCCTGGCTTATGGGCTCGATCCCTAGCAGGGGGCATGCAGGAGGCAGCCGATTAATGATTCTCATTATTGATGTTTCTATCTCCGCCCCCTTCCCCTATGAAATATATATATATATATATATATATATATATATATATATATATATATATATATATATATAGCACAGGGCTCCTAATGTTGGGTAGGGGTGCCAAGTCAAATTCTTTGTGTTATTTAAACAGAGTGAGAATCACTTTGCTGAGATGGTCAGGCTGCTGTGCTCCATCACAGACCACTGGGGCCACCATGCCACACCCAGGCACTCCTGGCCTAGGGTGACAGGGCCTGGAATGGAAAGTCACTGTAAGTTTAGGGGCAGCTCTGCCTTTCCAACATGCACACATACACAAAGGTCATTCCCCTGTAGATGAGGGCTGGGGTTCCAGGAAAGGGGAACAGCTTTGATTTAGCTGGAGCAAAGGTTCCTAAATCATTGACTTAATCTGTTGTGTTATATTAAAAATTCTCATATGATGCCTGGGAAAACCTAGCTAAAGAGAAAATAGTAACATGTTCTCCTTGAGTATAAAAAAAAATATGAAGAAAATGAAAATCACCTTTAATCCAGCCACCTTTAATAGTCTACTACCATTTTCACGTGTCTCTCAGTCTTCTTCATATATGCACTCAAAAAACAGATTTCAGGTTATACTGCCCCGACTGTTTAAAAACCTGCCTTTTAAAAAAATCATAAGCATTTTTCAAAGACCCTATTTTTCCAAATATGATTTGCATTGAGATATAATTGACATATAACTAAATATGATCTTAATGGCTTCATGTATTTGTGTATTAATGTTACCAAAATTAATGGATACTCAGGATACAAACTATATGTATGTGCATGCATATGTGTATATATGCATATATGCATATAGGTATGTGTATATTATTGCAAAAAACACTATATGAATGAACATCCTTGTAGACCATTATCTGTTTGTAATTATAATTAGATTTTCAAGAGGTTTTGTTTAGTTTTTATATTAAAAATGTTTTCTCAGAAGAATTACTAGATCAATAGCTATAAACTCTTTTTAAGCCATTTGAGCCAAATTACAAAGTTGCCCCCAGAAACAACTGTTCTAATTTACACACTCACCAACAGTACACAGAACTGCCTACTGACACTGCGCAATTAGGACAATCTGTTGATCCTTTTATTCCTCCCTACGTACTAACCGGTAAAGCCACAGTAGCCAAGGAATCCAGAAATGACAGCCACAGACACGGGCACAGTAGGGTGGATGGAGAAGCCCAGTGAGAAATGTGTGGGTGGCAGAAGGGAAAGGGGTGCTCAGAGAGCGGTCTGGCTCACCTCAAAGATGAATTTGGAGCTGCCAAAGTTGGTCTTCTGTTTCTGCCAGAAGTTGTCGGGTTTAATGATGAGGGCCACATGGATCTCGGCTGGGAAGGCTTCCTGCAGCGTCTTGAGGAGGGGCTTGATGAGGTCCCACTTGGAGCCCCGCATGTCGATGATGACGGTGAAGCCACGTTTGCACACGTCCTCGCTGTGGGAGGTCAGAGGCCCGGCATGGTCACTCTGGGTGGCTGAGACTTGGATGTACACAGTCCAAATACATCCAGAAATCTGCATTCCTTTTAATCAGGGCCACCCTTCCAACTTCACACCAGGTCTGCTGGCTGCCTTCCAGTCCCACCTAAATGTGCTGCCTCAGAAAACCTTCCTGGCTTAACCCCATCTGCTGGAGGGTGTCTGCCTGCTCCTAGCACTCAGCAAATGACTCAGCCTTCCCTATAGACATTGGCACTTGATGGGGTGTTTACTCTTTTGGGTATTCCAATTTCTGTTTGATTTTACATTTAGTTTTTGTTTCTCTTACTCCTGGGGAGCATCATGTTTTCCCTATTTGAAGACAAGCTCTGTACCAACAGGGACCCCGGTGCCCTAACAGCTGAGATGGAAGAACCTTGGCATGAGGGCTGCCCTTCCCCATGCCCTAGCAATAGCAGTCACTGTTACACTTTACCAATGAACCCAAACGGAGCCAAAGAACCTTTTTCAATAGAAGATTCTAGGCTGATTCTATCAGTTGATAAGAGGTGGTACACAAAGTATGAATAAGGCATATTTGCCACCACTGTATTTAAGATGTATCACTTGTAGTTCAAATGTTTGTTACCTTATAAAAAATCAGGTTGTTGCCAGGCCGGTACTGCTCATGATTGAGCATTGACCTATGAACCAGAAGGTCATGGTTCGATTCCTGGTCAGGAGGCAGCTGATCAGTGATTCTCTCATCATTAATGTTTATCTCTCTCTCTCTCTCTCTCTCTCTCTCTCTCTCTCTCTCTCTCTCTCCCTCCCTCCCTCCCTCCCTCCCTCCCTTTCTCTCTGAAATCAATAAACATATATATATGAACATATATATATGAACATATATATATATATATATTTATATATGTTTATTGATACACACACACACATATACACACACAGACACTAGAGGCCCAGTGCACAATTGGAATCCTTCGAGGAGGTGCCTCATCTCCTGCAGAGTGAGGAGGCCCACTCCACTGGCGGCCAAGACCCACACCTGACTTGTGCAGTGCCTGCTGCCTGGGGAGTCAGGCCAGACCAGGGCCCCGAGGTGGGGTGGGGTGGGGGAGGAGACCGGGATCCATGCCTGACTCGCAGTGTCCCCCGGCCTCCCTGCCTGTGTCCTCTTCTGGGGTCACCCAAACCACTGTGCCACTTGGGCAGGCCCCCCACCTCTGTCTCCATCTCCGCTTCTGGTCTCATCTGCCTGTGCAACCTCCTCCTGTCTGGTCATGACCCATTAAGGAGTCCTGGTCTAATTTGCATATTACCTCTTTATATATAAATATTATATAGAGAGATATATTTAAAAAGTCAGATTGGCTGAAACCGGTTTGGCTCAATGGATAGAGCGTCGGCTTGGGGACTGAAGGGTCCCGGGTTCGATTCTGGTCAAGGGCATGTACCTTGGTTGTGGGTATCCCCAGTGGGGGATGTGCAAGAGGCAGCTGATCAATGACTCTCTCTTATTGATGTTTCTAACTCTGTATCTCTCTCCCTTCCTCTCTCTACAAAATCAATAAAATATATTTTTAAAAAAAAAAGTCAGATTGTTGAGTCATGCTGATTATTCAGACGGCCAAATGTGGGACTGATGAAAAAGACGGATACAGTCTGTTGTCTCGTGCACTTCCATTGTGAGAGTCAGGGCATTAAAAGACTTACTTCAGGAAGTTAAGAGAGGGAAGCTACTCCTATAATCAAGGCCAGAAGAAGTGACAGTGACCATCTTGAAAACCAAAACTAACCAGCCTAAGTGAATCAATGAAGATATTGTTATGTACCCTATTAAAGAGCAAACTTTATTTAAACGCTTGGACTTTATAACTCCTAAGAATCAGAAAGGGGGGGGGGGGAGTGGTCAAAATAGTTCAACATATTAGTTTGGAAGAAAGTTTAGGTTTTGGTAGTTAGAGGGTCTTCTCTTCTTCTTGGCTTGTTTAACCTATCCATTTATTTTATAACTAAGACTATACTTTGGGTAATTCACATTCTAATATAACCACTGGTGTAGGGTCTTTCACTTAATTTTCTATTCCCTAGATTGTACCTGCGTAAACCGCCGTGCATGTTACATGACCACAGATGACTGCCTCCACCAACCAATCGCTTCCCACTACTGGAGGGAAGGCCGCAATGGGAAGAATTAAGCCACAAATGGAAACAAAATACCTTTTTCAGGCTTCATTCTCAAATCGCAACAGTGATGAGAATGTCGCAGCCTGGTGAAGAGACCACAGCCCCTGTGACCGCGTGGATGTTTCAAGCATAAAGCAACTTCCATGGGCCTCCGAGTTAGATGGGGAACTGCTCAGGCAGGAAGGAGGCTTTCCATTTCTTCTTGCTGATACAAAGGACTAGACTCAGCATGGGGGAGTTTTGTTTCTCCCAAATCGGTGTCAACAAGTGGCCAGAGTCATCCACAAATAATTTTCTCTGATCTATTGTATGAAAGCAATGTGCCATTCCCCTAAATTATGGAATTTCTTTCCCATTAGAAAAGAAACACCTGCTAAATACAGAAAACTTCAAAGATTTATATAAGAGATGCTAATGGCAGGAATTTATAACACGCTGTCCTATTTCCCTCCAGTCTTCTTTGTGCATTTAATTTTCATACCATAGAGTGTTCTACTTTTCACTGTGACATAGAGTTTTTTCCTTGTCTAAAATTTCTTTGAAACTGGCACACCGAATGACAGATAGTCCATCCCTCTGCACCTTTACCATGCCTTATTTAATCATTCTCGTTACTACTTTGTAGAAAAACATATCAACTTACATGTTGTGCATGAGAGTCCCAGCAGCTCATGAGATCCCCTCAGCCCCCTTACTATATTCTCATCAGCACAGAAATATTTGCCCATTTAAATTTGCACCTCTCTGATTACTAGCTGGAGCTTATAGGTCCAGAAGTATTTCTTCTGTAACATACCTACACAGTTCTTTCATCCACTTTCCTACTGGGACTTAATGACTTTTCTCCTTGAGCTTACTCACATCTGCTGCATGCCCACTTAGGTCAGGAGATGATATGACCAATTTCTTTGTGCATCTGCTCCATCCCTGTTGCCATAATTGTGCTTACATGAGAAACCGCCATCCCTAGCAACAGTAGGTGTTGCTACCAAGAGCTGGAGTGTGGCTACCCCAGCATTTAAGTGGACTAGCCGGTTTCTGACAACTACAGTAGAAATAGGTACTAACATTTTCCAGAAGTTCTCACTCAGGAGACGGGGAAAGAGGCCCAGGGCTGGGAGCTAATGTAATTGGCATCTCTGTGAGACAGCCTGGTCTCTCACCGGTGCTTTATGTGTTTGGTTTCAAGAAGAAGCAGAGTTGGGGGAGGGAAAAGAACTTCTCACTGCATGCTTATTCTATGCCAGGGGCTATGCTTGGGCACTTGACATACGATATTGCACCATCCTCACAACAGCTTATAAACTTGGCATGCAACCTTCATATAAGAGATGATGAAACTGAGGCACAGAATCTGTTGTAGGTCACAGGACACAGGACGAGCAAGTGGCTACGCAAATAATCAGAACCATGGCTGCTGACTGTAAAGCCCACACTCAGGTCACTATATTCTATTATATGCCACCATCATCACCACTGTGAATGGTGTTTTGGTCATAGGCAGTGGGGGTTAAGGGTCCCAGCAATGAGGGGATTTGTTAGGAAGCTCATAGAAGATGAGGGAAATTGTGGCAAGGGGTCCAAATGAATGACCTCTCTTCTGCAGTCTGCCAAAATACAGAATCACAGAAGCCAAGTAGTATGGTACACTGAGAAAGTTGAAGTTAATTCACTCTAGATTAGGCATAAGGGTAGGGAAGAGAGTGATGCTCTGAGTGCTTCCAACAGCCCTATTTCAGGCTTGGCCTCCCCTTGCATACCCTCCCCGCTGCAACCCCTCCCTGGGGCCAAGGAGACTTGCCCAGATAAAGTCTGTACTGTACCTCCACCCCCTTGTAAATGAAGCTCCGAGTACCTGAATCCCTAAAATTCTCTGCCCAAAGAGCTCTTAGCCTACACTCTGGGCCCTTTGTGCAACTGGACCCCAGGTCTAATCCTCTAAGGCAAGCAGCACCATCAGCATGAGCATGCCTAGGCCTGAGGGGTGGCAAAGGACTGCTATTTGCAAAGATGTGGCTAGACCATGGATGTGTGAGCTGTGGAGTCCACATGCATGCGAGACCCCCTTCCCTCTACCCTGGCACAGTGGAAGACAAGCTGGGCAGTGGGCACAGAGAGAGGCAGAGCATGGCCTGGGACTGTTCTCCCTGTGCTGCCAAGTTCTGGCAGGGAACTCAGGAGTCCAATAAGTCCAAATATGAGGCTGGCCTTCTCTGCCACTGTGAAGGTATATCAGTCAAGGTAGGATGGTGCAGGTGTAAGCTGATGGCTGCAATGCTGTCGGATAGAATGTGTTTTATTTAACAGTTTGTTAGCCTGATTTTCAATACTGAGACAGAGGGTATTCGTGTTTCCATTTGTACTCCAGAGAAGAGGCACGGGTCTAGAATCAGGATGGTGGGAGTGCTGGACTTATCCTGAGGACAATTGGGGACCACCACCGGGGCCGGGGGGTGCGTGATGGAAAGACTGCCTCCAGCTGTGCAGGGCGGTGGGAGTATGCTGGGCTCAGCCAGAGGGAGTGGCAATGGCAGAATCAGAGGAGCCACATCCTCTGGATCTTGGTTAAGGTCCTCCTAGTGCAGATGTCCGTGGGCTGGCCCACCTAAAGCCTCAGCTGTCACCCAGCTCTCCCTCGCTCCTTCCCTCTCTCCCTCCCCAGACTTATTGTTTCTTAGCATTTACTACCATCTGGATCATATATTTTACTTATTCATGTATTGTCATTCTTCCCTCACTAGAAAATAAACTCCATGAGGGTAGAGGTTTTTGTGTGCATTCATTGCTGGGTGCCCAGTGGTTAATACTGTG